TATAGTTGCTGTAGTTTGAAGTGCGACGAGACGAGTTCAACATGGTTATTGGATAGATTGTGATAAGGTATGTAAGGCTAAATCTTTCCTTCATTTTGGCATGATCCTGTAACTATATGCATTTGATAGCGAGACATAATAAGAAGTTCGTATTCTTGAATTTAGGTACATTACCCTAGTCTCATAAGTTATTGTATTCTACCTTATCGGAAAATTATATTCTCCCTATTGGGAACTTCTAATCGGATGGTAAGTTATTTATCGAGCCTACTATGGCCGAGCGCCTATGAGCTAGCCCATAATGGCCGAGATACTGAGCCTAGTATGGTCGAGCGCCTATGAGCGAGCCTACTACGGAAGAGCAGTTACAAGTATCGAGCTTTATAGGACCGATTGAGAGAGTTGAGTCAGTATCAGTAGGTAAGCATATCTTTAGATCATCTTTGACCCCCAGTTACTTTCAGTTATTATATTATCAATTCAGTTTCAACTTTTAGTTATTATATTTCCTTACATACTCGGTACAGTATTTTGTACTGACGTCCCTTTTGTCAGGGACATTGCATTTCATGCCTGTAGGTCCTGATAGACAGCCAGATAGACCTTCCTAGTAGACAGAGCCAAATATTAGCTTGATTGGTAAGCTCCACACTATCAGTAGAGGCTTGTAGACATATCTTATCAGTCAGTGCAGTATGTTGGCCTTGTATGTATATATGTTTTGGGTTTGTTAGCTGTAGTAGTTATGACGGCCTTGCCGACCCAGCTTTATACTGATGTTTAGTTGGAGCTATTCTCTGTTCAAATTAATATTTTTTTCACAAATTGTCCTGCAACGTGGCCCTATTGTCAAAGTATCACATTGTATGTTCAGAGTCCCTCAGTCTCGGGTCGGTACGCTCGGTCAAGTGAGGTACCGGGTGCCGGTCTTGCCTCCCTAGGTTTTGGGTGTGAGAAACTTGGTATCAGAGCAGTTTTGTCCTAGGGAGTCTACAAGTCGTATCTAGTAGAGCCTTGTTTATAGATGTGTTATGCACCACATTATATAAACAGTAAGCTACAAGGCATATATGAGTATGTTACCCTTCTTTCAAATCCAAATTATTTTATAGAGCTGAGCCATAAAATTTGAGTCAGGACTTATGTTTGCTAATGATATAGAGTTTCTTACAATTATAAAAAATATAGCTAGCCAGTAGGCTTATATAGCAGCAGGTAAGGACATTATTAGAGTGAGAATTCTTGACGAGGTGACCCTGTTTGAGTCCCTATCAGATCGTGCATACCAGATGTGAAAATTTTCAGCTTAAGACACTAAGATTAGAAGGTAACAATATAAGTTTCAACATGTAACCGATGTAAGATGAAGGAGGGTACGAGGTATCCAGTTAGTGAAGATTATCAATATTTACAATTCAGGCAGAGAAATATGAGTATTCTTAGTTTACTTTCAATAGTAACAGAGGTACGTACAATTGGCCACACCCATCTCAGTTATGCCCTATGGAAGCTAACAGATATAGTTTAAGAGAAGGATAGGATATTAGGATCCAGTAGGGATTTGAGTAACCCAAAATGGTGGATGGATTATTAGCATTAGCTGACATTTCTAAAGGATATTGTGAACGTGATAATAGTTCTCCTTGTGAGACACCTAGGTGGTGCACTCTAGAATAGTATAGTCAGATATGAATACTAGAATATTCATATTAGCATTGGAATCCTATAAGGGATAAATATTTGGCTTATTATGACTCTCGTCCCTAGTAAAGAGAGAATGTCAGGTCACCCGAAGATCCAGTGAAATAGAGCAAGGGGAGCTAAAGTGAAAGATTGTTTTGTTGAAGTTTTCAAAATAAGGCAACAGAATCATCAACATGAGAATGAGAATAGAGTAAATGAGGCATTATGAGTAAGATGTGATAAATGTGTGATAACAGTAAATCAAAATATGACAAGATGATAGAGTCTATAGTCAAGTGAAGGAAAAGACAAGAGGTGACAGGACTTGAGACAATAAAGCAGTATAAGACATAAAGTGATACCCTCACTTCGAGAAATGAGTTGGTGACTCAAACGTGATTACCAGAAGGCTAAGTTAGACCTCCAAAGTAATAGAAATCAGTATGGGCTAGTGAACAAGATAAACTGAACATGAATTAGGGATCAGAATATTTGATAATAGTCGGCATCTTGATAATTTCAGAGATGACGTTCCGACAATAATAGAATGGACAACAAATAATTAACCTTTAAAGTCCATTCAGGAAGACGCTTTGCTAAACCAAGCACTATGGGTAGAGTTAAGCTTAAGGGACTCAGTGTTCCAGTTACACTAGGTGTCACCCTTGTGCGTAAGGAATTTAGTTATCCCTAGTACATAAGGGTTACAGTAAGGCGGGAAAGGGTCATTGATGATGTAAGAAGATTCCAAAGATGAAGAGGTAAAACATTTATAGGTATATCATCGTAACACTAAATCTTAGTACCCCTTTAAATAGGGGAAGATGGTGTGATGTGGTATTAAGTCGGAGTTAAATGGTTCAGGTAACTATGGATTGGTAAAGGAAAAATGTGGTGAAAAGGCGAACGGGATGAGGTTGTATTTATTCAGATCCTACCAACATGTCGCTACTATAGAACATTATGCAAGCACGACTTTGGGGAGAGACAGTAAGCGTTTTCGGCCAGGATGTTATTCATAAATAAGTATGAATTGACACTTGATACATAAGGATCCAGTACGGGAGGTAAGTTAAGACAAAGGAAATAACCCAAGAGAGATTACATGGAATATAGATATAAGAATAGACCAACAAGTAGTTAGTAGTTGATTCAGGAAGTGCTTAGTTATGGCTAGATAAGAGGATATAGATAGACCAATAGATCATGCAACATAAACCCCAACATAGGGAATTCATTATCGTAGATATGATGACATCGTGATCTTTGTGAAATATTCAGATATGAGTTGTGGTAGTTAAAGGTACCGTATAAGTGTTACAAAAATAAAAGAAAGTGCCATTGGGAGACAGTCAAAATTTCAGTTCAGAAGCAGCCCTACGAGCATAAGGACGCATAGGTAAGTAACTAAGGATAATTATAGGCGAGTAAGAACACCAATATTTTCTTCGTGTATACGATGTAATGAGCTCGCAACTTTACAGGAGTCAGAAGGTCTCCCCTAAGTACTAAAACAAAATACTACTTAAGGAAATAAGGAAGAAGGCTTCAACCTAAGCATAGTAACCCAAAGAAGAAATGATCTTGTAACAACAGTCTCACTATGACATTGTATGCACTCCATAATAAAATGACACATATCATGGCTAATGAATGGGAAGTAAAGAAAAATCAACAACAGCAACAACAACATACCCAGTAATATCCCACACTGTGGGGTCTGGGGAGGGTAGTGTATACGCAGACCTTACCCCTATCTTGTGAGGATAGAGAGGTTGTTTCCAATAGACCCCCAGCTCAGGAAAGCATAAGCACCACATTAATGAAAATATGGATAACAAGGGACAGTACCAAAAATCCATATAAAAGCAGAATAAAAAACAACAAGACAGTAAGGTGATCAACAACGAAAGAAAATAATGGTTAGTCATAAAAACCTACTACTAACAGAAAGTGAGACTGCGTGCCAATACTACTGTTATAAACACTCTAGACTATCTACTCTACTACCCTAATCCTCGACCTACATATCTTTCTATCAGGGGTCATGTCCTCGGTCAGCTTAAGCTGTGCCATAGCTTGCCTAATCACCTCTCCCCACCTATTCTTTGTCCTACCTCTACCTCTTCGTAGGCCCTCCAATGTCAACCTCTCACACCTCCTCACTGGTGTGTCTGTGCTCATCCTCCTCACATTACCAAACCACCTAAGTTGCGCTTCTCGCATCTTGTCCCCAATAGGGGCCACACCTACCTTGTTGCGAATAACCTCATTTCTTATCCTATCTAACCTAGTGTTCCCTCACATCCATCTCAACATCCTCATCTCTGCTACCTTCATCTTCTTGACATGAGTGATCTTGAATGGCCAATACTCAGCCCCATACAACATCATTGGTCTGACCACCACTCTGTAGAACTTATCCTTAAGTTTTGGTGGCACTTTCTTGTCACACAAAACACCGAAAGCGAGTCTCTATTTCATCTATCCCGCACCAATATGATGTGTGACATCTTCATCAATCTCCCCATCCCCCTGAATAATAGACCCAAGGTACTTAAAACTCACTCTCCTAGGGATGATCTGTGAATCTAGCCTCACCTCCCCTTCCCCTCCTTGAGTCTCGCCACTGAACTTACACTCCAATTATTCTGTCTTGGTCTTGCTCAACTTGAAACCTTTAGATTCTAGGGTCTTCCTCTATACCTCTAATTGCGCATTCACAATGTCTCGCATCTCATCAATCAGTACAATATCATCTACAAATAGCATGCACCACGACACCTCCCATTAGATGTGGCGCGTCAGTACGTCCATCACCAGAACAAACAAAAAGGACTGAGTGCCGACCCCTGAGGCAACCCTATCATAACTGAAAAGAGGTCGAGTCCCCACCCCTGAGGCAACCCTATCATAACCGAAAAGAGGTCGAGTCCCCACCCACCATCCTCACTCGGGCCTTTACTCAATCATACATGTCCTTAACCAACCTAACATAGGCAACATGTACACCTCTAGCCTCCAAACATATCCACAAAACCTTCCTCAGAAATGTATTGTACGCCTTTTCTAAGTCGGTGAACACCATATGCAAGTATTTCTTTCTCTCCATATACTGATCCATCAATCTCCTAACAAGGTGGATGGCTTCTGTATTTGAATGCCCCGGCATAAATCCAAACTGGTTCTCGGAAATAGACGCACCCCTCCTCACCCTTAGCTCTACCACTGCCTCTCTGACGTTCATAGTATGGCTAAGCAGCTTGATACCCCGATTCACCCTTGTTCTTGTATAAAGTAACCATCGTTCTCCACCTCTACTCGTCGGGCATCTTTGTCATTCTAAAAATGACATTAAATAACCTAGTGAGCCACTCTAAGCCTACCTTGCCCGCACTCTTCCAAAACTCCGCCGGGATTTCATCCGACCCGGTCGCTTTTCCCCAGCTCATTTTACGTATAGCCCCCTCTACTTCATCAACTCTAATCCGCCTACAATACCCAAAGTCATAACGACTCTCGGAGAGTTCCAAATCACCTAGTACAATGCTCGTGTCTCCCTCCTCGTTTAAGAGTCTATGGAAGTAGGTCTGCCATCTCTGACGGATAAGACCCTCATCCAACAAAACTCTACCTTCTTCGACCTTGATGAACTTCACTTGGTCCAAGTCCCGCACTTTCCTTTCTCGCGCCTTGGCTAACCTGAACAGCCTTTTATCCCCACCTCGGCCCTCGAGTTCCTCATACAAACGACTAAAAGTTGCAATCTTGGTTATCGTAACTACTAGATTTGCCTCTTTCTTAGCCAACCTATAATTCTCCCTATTCGCCCTCTTCTCCTCTTCGTCTACACTTTCCACTAGCTTCAGATACGATACTTTCTTGGTTTCCAATTTTCCTTGCACCTCTCTATTCCACCACCAGTCTCCCTTGTGACCACTAAAATAACCCGTTGAGAACCCTAATACCTCTCTCGCAACTTCCCTAATGGACTACACAGTTATGGCCCACTATTTGAGATCATATGAGTTACAGGATATTCCAGTATTCGTGGACACTAAGATAAGCTAAGAATTCACGCAGCAAGTTGCAGAATGAACAGGAAAAGCAATTGTTTATGCTTAAAGACAATTGAGAAGGCATGAAAGTTAATCTATGGTGCTAGCAAGTTAAAGGAAGGTTGCGAGTATTATAAATAGATATGTGTAGGTCGCAAGATAAAGTATGTTAGAGTGACAAGATTTTAGGTAGATAGGAGTAAGGATAAGAAAAAGTGGGTGAGGTAACAAGAATAGGTAAGGCCTCGAGATTAAGCCCATCAAAGCAAGGGAGTTGATGGTTTCCATAAGTTATAGAAAGCTCATTATAGCCTTAATGAACTTGGAGAAGTCTAAGACTAGAAGACTTTAGAAGAGATGAAATGCTACCCTAGTAGTAGAATAAGGGTGTAATTGTGATAGATAAGAGGATAACGTTTACGCCTTTGATTGAGTAATATCCTAAAGAAAAGGGATTTCATGAATTGCACGGGATTAGAATACCCCCATATGATGAATAACGTTGGGATGCTATGAAATATGGTGATTAAAGCATAGTATCGCCCTTAGGTGGATCATGCAAATAACTTCAGATGTTTCCCTATGAGATGTGAGCCCTAGTGGCAATGTATTACGTAAGATGTTTCAAGTTATCAGTGGTAGATAACAGATCAACATTAAGGTGAATCAATAATAGATGGATAAAATTTTCAAAGTATGAGATAATATTAGGATGTCATTCTTAATATGAACAGTAATGAGGAAGCATCAAAGGACTTAGATTTATACATATAGGATAAGCAGCGAGAGAGTAAGCTGGAGTTGGGTAGTAGACCTCAGAAATAATAAAACTGAAGTAAGTGTTATGGTATTGTATGACCTACCTAGATGTAGTAAAGCCATAAGCATAGATAACTAAGGCTATAAAACAATATATACTAATAGTCATAAGTTCGACAAAGTACCGAGCGAAGAACTTCAGTCCACCTATAGATGCCCAGAGGGAAAGCTTGTCATAGTTATGTACATGTTCACTAAGTGAGGCCTAGAGATTGCCTAAAATCTATAGGAAAGGGAGAGAAGAGTCGTATAGGTGCACATACAAGGACAAAGTCGTACAGGCTGCATGACAAAAGGTAGCAACAGTTACGAAATTAAACGATTTCCGACCACAAGTCGTGGAATGCCCTGCCTTTGGATTTATTTATAGAACAGTTGCCTAGATGGAAAGGACAATATTAAATTATTCGTAAGAGATATGGGTTATGAGAGTCATAAGCGCATCGATCAACATTCGAGGACGAATGTTCCAAAGGGGGGAATAATATTATACCCCATATTTTCATATGTAAGAGTACGTCGTAAGTCAATTGATGTAAGCTTAGAAATCAGATAATCTTTGAAAGTATATAAAGTAATTTAATCATGTTACCTTGGAGGTTAAAAATATATAAGATCATGAATAACAAGTACCAAGAGGATTGGAAGTTTTAGAAGCAAAACGAATTGAAGAAAATGCATTTCGTCGAAAGACGAAGAGTTGGAAATGTTATAACATGTACTTTTGGAGTGATACTAGGGTACTTAATATGACAAGGAGGATATATTATGATTTATTTGAGTAGCATGATAGTCGTGTGTTATGTTTTAAAGTCGAGCGAGTTGTGGAATAAAAGTTGGCAAAGGTCATGACAGGTTACATTCATAATGTGCTGAATATTAGGCCAAATATATCTGAGCTATTTTCCCAATATACATGGAAGTACAGGATGATCCACCTAATAAAGTTAATATCAATGAGTCTAGTTTCTATCACATTAAACAATTCATCGATACGATATCGGAGTAGAGAGATATTCACGTTTTTACGAGACTGTGCAAGCTGCTCCCAATGAAACACACTTAGGCGGTTGATAATTCTCCGACCATTAAAGATCGGGGAAAGTCTCATTTGGGTTCATTTTTCGACCCAACCAGACCCTATACTCTCCCAAAATACTCGCAAAGCAGCTTCCATGATTGTAGAGTGAAAACCAAAGATAAAAACATGAATCTAACGTTAGAAATCTCGTGGTGCTTGCTATATCATAGTTCTTCATCTTGTGGCTATTTTGGAGGATTCTAACAAGTGAAGTACACTCAGGATTCGTTTTGTTCTTGATTGATAAGGGAATAATTAGTCCCTTCTTCATATATATTGGAGTTTCAAGGCGAGCTACAAGTGTTTACACATGAACTTGAACACCAAAAATTGATTCAAGAAGAGAATACAACACCTATAGTATTGTTGTGTCATTGAGGATAGTTGTGGGTAGAGTTTGGCTGAAATTTCATATTGTTTCTAATGGTTAAGGTGATTATAACAGCATACTACATGCTCTTGAAGTTGTTCATATGTTGGCTGCAGTATTTGAGCAAAATACTACAAGAGGAGACTTGAAATAATTTGAGATGTTATTGTTTTTAATGGACTGTTTTGGAAAGGTTGTTTCCGTGAACTTTAAATGGTTGGAAACCTTGTAAAATGGCTTTCTTATGATGTTGTTATTATAAATATATTGTCTAACTTGTTGTTGGTATTGTGAATATGAATATAAAGGACAACACAATAATGGAAAGTTGTAGTTGTTGTTGTTGTTGTTGTTGGGTTGTTTGATGGTCAATTAGGAGATGAATAGGAGATTAGATATCCTCCCATTGTACTTAATATAATTCTGGATATGTTATTAAGTTAATGAATGAATGAGTTACAATTTAAAGGGTTCAAAATGGATTCAATCTGAGATTGTCGTTCGCCATGTTAAATAGTAGTTTTGTTAGTGATGTTTATGCACTTGTTGTTGTGTAGCTTGATCTGTGTTGTGGTTCTAAAAGTATGTAGGTGAAGGTTTTATGTGTTCTTTCTGGTTTATGGACTTGGGAAAGCAAGGGAAACATGGGAGATGCTGCCTATTTTAATATAAAATAAGCTTGTCATTCGTTGTACGATAGTTGCATCTTTCGTAGCTTAATGATAGCATTATTATCGTTGTTGTAGATGGAAGTGCGATGAGACGAGTCCAAAATGGTTTTTGATAGATTGTGATAAGGTATTTTAAGGCAAAACCTTTCCTTTATTTTGGCATGATCCCGTAATTACATGTGTTTGATAGTGAGACATAATGAGAAGTTCGTATTCTTGAATATATGTACATTATCCTAGTCTCATAAGTTATCATAATCTCCCTTATCGAGACATTATATTTAGTTAAGTATTGTTGTCTTCCAGTATTACAGTATTTTCACCACCATCGAGCTATAATCGGTGGGCAGGCCCTTATTGGGCAATATTACAGTATTTTCACCATCATCGAGCTATAATCGGTGGGCAAACCCTATTGGGCAACCTCTGATTAGATAGTAAGTTATATACCAAGCCTACTGTGGACGTGCGCCTATAAGCGAGCTCAGAATGGCCAATATACCGATCCTAGTATGGCCGAGCGCCTATGAACGAGCCTACTACGGAAGAGAAGTTACATGTACCGTGCCTTAAGGGCCGGACATCTATTTGCCTATTTAAGGGGCTGCTATTTCCTCACTTCACAGACTCTATCTTACACATACAGATATCTTGAGAGTTACTTGAACACACATATCGTTGAACATACAATCAGCAGTTGAATAGATTAAAGTAGACTAAAACTTAGAGCAAAACCGGTCCAAAACAAAAAATATAATAGTTTGAAGTTAGTTTGTAGTTCTCTCTTCTTTAAAGGTTGTAAGTTTCAAGGTGCCTTCTGGGTGATTTTACTGGTCCTTTTTACTGCTATTGCTGCTGGTTTGAATTTGCTTTGCTGGGTTCGTTGGCCTACTGTTGGATTCAACATTTTCACTGCTGAAATTTCAGTTTTTCTAGGTAAAGTTTTGAACTCATTATGTAGTTTAAATGTTCATGAATGAAATAAAAATGCCCGAATATTTTTTATGGTTATATCGGTTTGTCTTAAGATGATTTAGCTACTTTAACAGGAATATATGACAAGTTTAAAGCTCATATCATATGGTTTTGGTTATATTAAATTAGTTTCGTATGATTGTGATGTTAGTTGTGCCAAGTTCAAATGCCTCTCTGTTTCTTTTCGCCTTTAGTTAAGATTTTAACTAATGTTTTTCATGAGGTTTATGTGTTTGTTTATGATATAAAATAAGGTTTTAGTTTTATGTTTTAGTCGTTTACTTAGATCTTAATTTCTTTTAAGTGGAGGCTCAAGTTTCTGATGTTGTTTAAGAAAGTTATTTAAAAGATTTAAGTTCTAAGATGATTTGTTTGAATGTTAAGATTTTTTTTTCTAAAAAGAAATAAGGAAATTAACAAATTCTCATGTCATATCACGGAGTTTGTGGTTGTTTTATTTCTATTCATGATCTTTGAGTTTAAAGAAAAGTTTATCAGGATGGTCATCAGTTGGGTCTAGTTTAAACTAGAAGATACTTGAGAATTGTCTCGCCATGATTTTGTTGATGATATAAGTTAACTCAGGACATTTTACCTTAAATTTTATATTATTAAAATTTAAAAAAAAAAGAAGTGGTGACGATAAAAAAATATTTTTTTTGTTGTTGACTTTGTTTTTGGAATGAAAGTGGGTTTTAAAATATTTATTGATTGATTATGAACCATATCATTAATTTAAGTCTTCTATGTTTTTTTTTAATTTTTTAATTTTTTTTTGTTGTTGTTGTTTTTGTATATTTTAAGTTTGTCAAATCTTGAATTAACAGAATAATCCTTTAGTCTTACTGACTGGAAGGTCTTTAGCTAATTGAGTTAAGTCAATGAGCTTAAATTTGATAAGCCCAAAACACTAAAGATTGGCTAGCCCATTCTCTAGACAAGTTGGACCATCCCCATGCCACACCCAATAAACTAAGCTGGATCATATTTAAATAATGAGTTTGCCAGCTTTTACATTTTAATTTAGGCATAAATTTTTAATAATCTGATTTTTGTTTTAAATAAGTTAATCACACTTAATTAATTTAAGCGATAGACAATTTTAGGCACATATGAGATGTAGACCATGTGTTCATACACGATCCTTGGTCGATATTTATTTAATAAAGTAGTCATGTGTGCATTTCCTCTCCTTGACTCTTCAATATTAATTGTATTTAAACCATGTGTACCGACACGTTCTTTGTTTTAGAACATATAACAAATAAGGACCTTGTGTGTTTGCACGCTCCTAGGCCAAAATTATTAATTATTAAGTGGTACTAGACAATAGTAACTTAAGGCAAATAAAACATAATTTATCCAAAATAAATTCAAGCCAAGTTTAAGTCAATAAAGCGATCGTGCTAGAACCACAGGACTCGGGGAATGCCTTACACCTTCTCCCCGGTCAATAGAATTCCTTACTCAAACTTTGTTTTTGCAGACCAATTAATAATAGAGTCAAAAATCGGGGAATGCCTTACACCTTCTCCCCGGTCAATAGAATTCCTTACTCGAACTTTGTTTTCGCAGACCAATTAATAATAGAGTCAAACCTTCCTTTGACTAGGGATTTAAATAAAAGGTTACTTGGAACACCAAAAATTAATTCCAAGTGTCGACTCTGTAAATAAAATAATCCCTATTCAAGTTTTTCACTTTAATTGGAAAAACTCTTTAACGCACAATAATCCATAACACATATATCTCTTTTTTCTGGGTTAAAAGGGGTGTGACAGCTCTGGCGACTCTTCTGGGGATGAACTCTCAAGAATTCGAGCTTGTACATTTACTTTATTTGGCTTTATTAATTTTTATATATACTGTGATTTATTTGGGCCTAATTTGCTATTTGTTCGCTTTTTACTGCTTTGATATTGTTGAACTATACATATAAATTATATCATCTCTCGCATCCCTCTGAGTCTTCTGATAATTAGTTATGTTGTGTTTGCCTACCAGCATAAAAAATTTCTATCTTGAGATAAAGCCAGTTAGCCTACCAGCTTCTGGTGAAGGATTTAGTCACACATGTTTAGGCGGGAGAGTCGTTAGCTAGCCAGTGATGTTCTACTACTGATGCTTGACGCTCCTCGGCTCGGTTTGTCTGCCCGGGTAAGCCAGGTCTAGATACCATCCCCTTTAGGATTTACAAACTTAGAAGAACAAGCAGCGCTCGACACAGGGGCCGAGTTCTGTTTTAGGACACACTTTGTTGAGACCATTATGTCATGTTATGTTCTACTTGTTGAATTATTTGGGAGGCTTGCATATCGACCGACTTTAGCATAAATCAGTTGAATGAACAAGGAAAAAATGATGTGGTCTAGTGCATATGATTTTTAAAGATTAATTTTCAAAAAAAAAAACATTATCAATTTTAACCGAACTACGCGGGTCTGATTCTCACCGAATGTGAGATACGTAGGCAAACCTCATAGGTTCCGACCCCAATTTTCAAAAAAAAAAATCAAAAATATTTTCCTTTTCCTTAATTCCCTATTTATAATTCTTTCCTTAGAAAATCCAAAAAAAAAATACTAAATCTAATTTTTTTTTATTGTCCCACAGTTTAGCTTTTATTTATTTATTTTTATTCTTTTATAGAGTCAAACCCGAGAAATCGGAATTTTTGTGTGTCAATAATATGTTTGATCAAAGCCTAACCCCGTGTCTGGGTAGACAGGTATACCATGAGTGGGGAAAGAGGTAACTCTGAAAAGAGGCCCAGATCAGAAGGGATACCAGATTTTTTGATTGTCGATCAGATACCATAGTTGTTCTAGGATTGGTGGAGAGACTTTTAGGAATATGAGTGAAACTAGATAAAGGAATACTTGGGACATTTGGTTCATATGATTACGATCAATCTCATGAGGGATGTGATCGAAGCTTTGATTCCGCACTAGGATACTGAAAATAATGTGTTCCATTTTACCGACTGTGAAATGACTCCGACCTTGGAGGAAATTGCTCATTTCCAGGGGTGGGGCCACAATCTTCGCCGCCAAAGGCGTATAGTACCAAAAATATGTGAA